TATGCCAGTGTCTGTGTCAAATCTGAGTTTTTTGCAGCCTCCTGTTGCCATAGTGGCACAACAGAGTTCAGAGATGACAGCTATAACCTCCCCTAGAGCCTGGTCTCCTATGGCCATGCTAAGGGCAGCCCCACAGTCCACAAGGTAACGAGGATGACTAGACCTTCAAAATGTCCAGCAATGCCTCCAGCTGGGATATCAAGATCTCTTGGTGGACATATGGGTATTCTGGTTGCCTGACTCTCACCTGTCATATCCCCAAGACACACACACTAGACAAGAGTCACACCACCATGGCAGTGGCCACTCTAGGGAACTCAGCTGTGGCTCCCCCATGCCAACACCACAATCCATGTCAGGGAGAATCACCACAATGAAGCTGCTCCCAGCAGACATGGGAACAGTGGAAAGGGCCGCTCAGCCTCTGGCTCTCACCATTCCAGAGGCAGCACCCTCTCGGCAGTGGAGAGCAGCCAACTTCACCCAGGTCAGTGTCAGCCCAAGCTAGAGCCAAAGAAAGAGGGCAGGAGCACAGGGTCCTCACAGTTGGTTGGCCCTCATCACCTGGGCCCAAGGGAACCCTCAACCACCTGTAGTCACTGACACTCAGAATGTGGCCTCTTCTACCTTACCCTCAGTTGGTTCCTGGAGAAGTCCACACTCATTAAAGGAGACACAGTCTCCTGGTTAGCCAGAGTACAGTGTGTTGTGTGTTCTAACCCACCGTTGAAGCTCTTTGGTTAAAGGCTGAACGTCCACTTGGAGTTCACAAGTTGCACCGTCACCCCTTTTCCACTAAGAGCATTCCAACTCTGTATGGAACCACTGCCTCCTGATGGAAACAGAACAATATCAACTCCTCTCATTTTGCATCTAGCCTCACAACCCCCAGAGCTTTCTTATTCACCTTGTTGTTTAAGAGAGTTTGGTGGGACAAAGCCTCACCTCTATTTCATGTGAGGCCAAAGGTAGTTAATAGACTCCTGGATGCTGCAGTCGGCAGAGGCAGAGACGACTCAGACCAGAGTCCCAGCGCCTGGTTCAGAGCTATACACTCTCATCCCTCCAGAGTGAGCAGGCTTTGGAACTGAGGTGGCAGAGATATTTATAAAACATGACCACGCCCTTCACAGCTTACATTCAGTTGAGAAAATAAACCCTACCCTTATAAATCAGAAAGGCTGAGCACCTGATGAGCCCACATATTTATAATTAGCACATTTCCTTCAGTTAATGCATTTTCTCAAGTATTCCAAACAAATTATTTTGCATCAAGATCTTTATATGAAATACTATATTAAATCCTATAGGTTTCAGTAATAAGGACTTTTCAGAAGATTTTAAAAACATTTTTTATAAATGACAAATTTCTTATATTTTTCACATGCACAAGCTTTTGATTCAGTGCAAATACTTATACACGAGTCTACTGAAGGCTTCTATACATCTTTTCTATTCCAGTTTCTCTCCATTCCATGTTCATTTATATGTGCATAATGAACCAAGATGACCGAAGGCATTCCCATATGCTATCCATTAATACAAATTCTCTCCAGTGTCCACTCTCATGATTGACAGAAATGACTTCATGTGCTAATGAAGTCTTTCCACATTCCTGAGTCAGGGTTACTTTCCAATGAATGTTTAACTGGAAGAAATAAAGGCTTTTTCATTTTTTTCTTTCTTTCTTCTTTTTTTTTGGGGGGGGTGTGCAGTGGGTCGAATCCAGGGGCACATTAGTAGTAATAGCAGCAACAGCAGCAGTAGTCCTGGAATTGAACAGGGGTGTTTTGCCACTGATTTATATTCCCAGCCCTTTTGATTTTTTTCTTTTGAAACAGGGTCTTGCTAAGTTGCTTAGGGCCTTGCTAAATTGCTGCGGCTGGCTCTGAACTAGTGATCCTCCTGCCTCCGCCTCCCAAGTCAGTGGAATTATAGGCATGCCTGATTTCATATTCCCTACACAGAGAGTGTTTCTTTCCAGTGTGAGTTCTTTGATGTCTGAGAACATGACTGGATTGACTGAAGGGTTCTCCATATTCATACATATATAGTTCTTTGATGATTTGAAGGGAAAAGGAAAAACTGAAGGCCTTCCCATGTTGCATAAAAACAGAGGGCTTCTCTCTAATGTGAGTTCCTCCATGGTTTCAAAAGGAACTTCAAACTAAAACTTTCCACACTGCTTATAAATATAGGGTTTGTCTAGTGTGAGTGCGTGCATGGTATTAAAAGGAATTGGAACGACTAAAGGCTCTTCTGTACTGCATCCATTCATAGGGTTTCTCTGAGGTATGAATTCTTTTATGCTGTTGAAGGGAACTGAGACAAGTGCATGTTTTCCCACCGTTCACAGTGTTTCTATCCAGTGTGAATTCTTTTATGAATTTTAAGGTAACTGAAGGTCCTGAATGCTTTGCCACAATATTCACATCCATATGGCCTCTCTCCAGTGTGAGTCCTTTTATGTCTGTGACAGGAACTAGAAGTAGCAAAAGCTTTCCCACAATCCTTACAGACATAGGGTTTCTCTCCACTATGAGTTCTTTTATGTCTGAGACAGGAACTAGGGTCACTGAAGGCTCTCCCACATTCCTTACATACGTATGGTTTCTCTCCAGTGTGTGTTCTTTTATGTCTGCGACAGGAACTAGGGTCATTGAAGGATTTCCCACAATCCTTACATACATATGGCTTCTCTCCGGTGTGAGTTCTTTGATGTGTAAGAATATGATTGGATTGACGAAATTCTTTCCCACATTCCTTGCACACATAGGGCTTGTCTCCGTTGTATGCTCCTTCATGAACTTCAGTGCAACAGGAAGAACTTAAGGCTTCTCCATACTCCTTGCCTACTGAGGGTTTCTCTCTAGTGTGAAATCTTTTATGATTTTGAAAGGAACTAGAAATATTAAAGGTTTTCCCACACTGTTTACACACATAAAGTTTCTGTCTACGGTGAGTTTGTTCATGTCTTCGCAAGTATTTTAAAGAAAAGAAGGCTTTTCCACATTGCTTACATACATAGGGTTTCTTTCCACTATGAGCTTGCTCATGTCTTTCAAAGCTCCTGAAACAACTGAAGCCTTTCCCACATTGCTTGCATCCATAGCGTTTTCTGCCACCACGAATCCCTTCATGGTGTGCAGGGCTACTGTGATCAGTGAAAGATTTACCACATTGCATAGATGCATATTCTTTTTCTTCATTCTGGATTTTTTCACGTATTTGAAGGGAACTAGAACGAGTTAAGATCCTCCCATGTTGCTTGTGTTCTATAATGTGGGACGTTCCATGCTTCTGATGATAACTGATGGCTTTGCCAGGATTCTGACACCTGTACTGTTTCTCTCCATGTTCCTGATACTCATATGGTTTGTGTCCAGCATGAGATCTGAGGAGCACATTTTGTGATGAATCACCAATAAGGACTTCTCCACATTCATAGCTTTCACTTGGTTTTACTTTAGAAAGAGGTGCACTGTTCTCAATACAGTTTGGAGTTTGACTCAAGATTTCTTCATATCCACTACCTTCTTTACATTCACTAAGTCTCCTTAACACTTGACTTCTGGAAAAAAATGAGAAGCATATTATTAAGGTTTTAATCGTTTTCTTTTTTAATATATATTTTTTTAGGTGTAGATGGACACAACACGATGCCTTTATTTTTATGCGGTACTGAGGATCGAACCCGGGTCCTGCCCGCGCTAGGCGAGCGCTCTACTTCTGAGCCACAATCCCAGCCCCAAGGTTTTAATTCTTAATGACTTACAAAGAGAAACACTGGTTTTATGGCTTGTACAAATTTTTGAACATGAAATGATTTTATGCTCTGCAGGATGGATCAAAGACAGATATTATCAAGACAGTGTTTCTGTGTTTGTTTTGCTTTGGATACTATGGATTGAACCCAGGAGCTCTTTATCACTGAGCTACATCCCCAGACTTTTTTATTTCTTATTTTGAGACACAGTCTAAGTTGCTGAGGGCTTCACTAAATTGCTGAGGCTGCCTCAAACTTGTGATCATCCCATCTCATTCCCCCCAAGTAGCTGGAATTATCACTATGCCTGGCAAAACAATGATACTATTATCAAAGTATTAATATTGTTTCCAACTACACTATTTGATAAATACTGTATATAGTATTATATGTACAATGTGATATACAATAATATATTCAATTTAAGTACAGTTGAATAATCCTATGTGAGAGGATAGGGATCAAAAGCATTTGGATTTTGAAATATTTTTCATATATATAATGAGATAGCCTGGGTGTTAGTCTAAACACAAAATTTTGTATCATAAACACCTTATTTCCAAACCCTAAATTTTTAAAATTACATTTTTGATAATTTTGTGCACTGAAGTCTCTCTATGTGTAGCCATCAGAAAAGTGCCACATAAGACATTATATTAAGACATTATATTAGTGATCAAGATGTTTTCATTTTTGGAACACTTTGGATTTCTGATATTCTGATTAAGGTCATTAATCTTTTCAAGTTTAGAGAAAATTTCCTTAGATCAGATCAACTTGAAGCTGGGTTTATTTGCATTGTTTGCTTGTTTTAAAAATTTCCTGTCATCCCAAAATTCTTGAGTGACATGGCTTTCTCCTTTGAGTATAGATTACCTTAGATTTCTGCTTAGATTTTTGTACACACCTTCCTTGGTCTGGTTGTCGCTTCCTTTTCCTAAAATGCAGACCCAGAAAATCAGTATGAATAATTAAACAATATAGAAAAATGACTGCATTCTAGCTAGGTTCCTGGTGTTTCGTGACCATGCTTGGTATAATCACCAAACATTCCCTTTCCATATTTCATGTATAGAGGAAACATTATGAGGAAGAAACTTTTTTTCTTGATTAAATAAATAAGGGAAATGATGTCATTCTTACCTAGAAAGGCCAGGCTCCTGAAGGTTTCCAACATCACTTCTTTGTAGAGCTTCTTCTGGGAAAGATCCAGCAAAGCCCACTCATCTCGGGTGAAGTTCACAGCCACATCCTCAAAGGTCACCGACTCCTAAATTATCCCACATATATTTCCAAGAGGAAGAGTAAGACTCAGTAACAGAGATAGGAAATCATTTCATTAAAAGCCAACACGATGCTGTGTGCCTCTACACTCACTCCATGTTTTGTCATCACCTTGAACGTCCCGTTCACACTCACATCCTCTTACAGCAGTTCTGATACTAGTCTGGAACTGTTTACACAACAGCAGAACAGTAACACACATGGTGCTCCTGGGTCACACCAACATCTTGCTGTGCAATAGGGTTTGTAATGCCGCTCAGAACAAAGTCTTAATATTGAGTGTACCCAAGACAGTAAGTACCACCTGTCTTGAGACAAATCTAACTTACGCTGGTTCTCAGAACTGCTCCTGGATGAACCTCACCAGCCTAACTGGAGAGAAGGGCTTAGGGTTTCCAAAGATTGTGCTCTTAGTTCATAATCTGTTGGTCTCCCTGAATGTTTACAATATTCTGAATGGTCATCAGCCCCCAAAATACACTCTGGATAACGAATCTCTAATGAGCTGCTCTGACAGACACAATTTAATATCACTTGTCACAACTTGTTTCTTTGGGAATGGAGCACATCCTCTCCTACTACACTAAGAGACAATATTTGCAAGCTTGCACTTTTTTTTTCACAGACCAAACTTAAACAAATACTAAATAAAATTCATGAATAGGGAAAGAGCACAATGTCACCTCTCCCACATATCAAATATACAACTAAAATGACAAGCCAGAAAAGATGGGAAGCTTATACAAAAACCCAGAACAACAAAAATGTTACAAATATGGTACTTATTCATCCAAATATTATCAAATTATTTTTAATGGAAATAATCTGCATACATCACTTGGAAGACTGCGTAGAGAAAAAAGGAAGACTCAACTTTGTGTTCTCTCCAAGAAAAACTATTATATAGATAAACATAGAGAGAGGGGAAATTGGGGGGAATATTGTTCAAGATTATAAAATTTAATTAAATAGGATAAGTTATTTCACAACCTCTATTAAATAATGTAGTTATAGTAAGTAACATTGTATTATGCCAGCCTGTAAACCCAGTGGCTCAGGAGGCTGAGGCAGGTGGACATCAGTTCAAAGTCAGCCTCAGCAACTTATCAAGGCCCTAAGCAAATCAGTGAGATCCTGACCCTAAATAAAATACAAAAAAGGGCTGGGGATGTGGCTCAGTGGTTAAGTGTTCAGAGCTGCTGGGATTAAGGTGTGCCCCCCACACCCAACTCACTGCTTTGTTCTGTTTTTGCAGGACTAGGGATTGAACCCGTGGCATGCTACCTCCAGCTATGTCCCCAGCCCCCCTCCCTTTTTCAAAATATTGAGACTGGCCTAGACTTGTGATCTTCTGGCTTCAGCCTCCTGAGTTGCTTGGGTTGCAGGCATGCACCAACACACCCAGCTCCAAAGCTATTTTGTAGAAACAAGAATCTACAAATGAAACAAAAGAGAAGCAGCTCAGAGAAGTAAACTGCTTCACCCATAGTTCCCAAGGAGATCTTTACTCAGAGGTCAAACACATCCCTAAGCTTACAGAACACTGTCACTTTGCAGATGCAGCCTAGGTGTTCACAGGCAGGAAGTGAGGAAGAGAAATCTGAATAGCCAGAAAACTAAATCCTGGGACCTCCACACACCTGACTTTCCACTCTTCCCACTACGGAAAGGATCCCTTGTGCACAGGCTCAATTCTAGTGAGCACTTATCCAGAGTCATTTGAAGGTTGTGATCTGTAGTATCTTTTTCTGAAATTATCTGACACTAAATCTGTGGTGTTTGAACACCACCCAATTTTTCAGTACCAACTGAGTGTCAAACAATTCTTATACTACCTAGACTTAGAGTCCCTGCAAGTTCAGGCGTCAGTCCCAGCACACTGACCCCCCTGCAGATGTGAATACAAAGCAGGTGTTTGATTTGTGTGATCAACAGTCTCTATTTTGAACTGATAGAGGGATGGTAGCTTGAGTCAACTCCTGGGCACAAATTCAAGTACTGCCTAAAAGAGGTTGAGGATAAGCACCCAGAGATTCTCCTACTGCTCACGAAATTCCAAGGGTTTTAGGTTCTCTGTGCCAGAATTATGGACAAATACCAATTTTTAAAAAAAATTCGACCATACATCCAAATAAACTATAAACCCTAAAACACATAAAACTTTTCTCCAGCAGGAAGAACTCAAAGATATCTTCCAGACTGCCTCTGTCAGAAATTATACTATGACAAGACCAACTATGTAGTTGCAAAGGTTCAATTTCATGTAATCCTAGAAATCAGTGGTGATTAACAAACTCCAGCAGCCTAGTGCAATCAACGTCCTACTCATTGCACTAACCTGATGCTCCCTTTAGGTTACCTATGACAAAGGTGACCACACAGATTCCAAATACCCACTTTTTGCCTCAAAAATGATCAGCTCAAGTGATCGGTAAAAACCAGCAAACTTTCCCTAAAATTTCTCATTCCTCCAGGCCTGAAATCTTTGACCAACCATAAACCTGACCCAGCACAAAATCTCTCCTTTATAATCACCCAAAGAACAGGGGAACCTGAGGGGAAAAGGTTGCTTCTAGAAGCAACCCTCCACCCTCCCTTCCTCGCCCACCTGGTTTCTACTCCCACAGGCTTCTCAAGGTTCTTTTCTTCCTAACCCGTAAGACGCTTACCATCTTACAATTGGTTTTCCCTACTGCAAACTCCTTTCAAATGAAGTCATGTCCCATGTCACAAGGGGAGTAGTGTCAGGTGGATTCTGGGTCTCCCGAGTTCAAAGAATGAAATCCACGAACAATCGGAGAGTAGCAAGATTTATGTAAAGCAAAAAAGGCTGGCCTATCTTCTAGGGGTTTTTATGGGCTTGATCTATCCCTATAGGAATCTGGTGGGATGACATGTAAATATAGGATTTAGAAAGAGGGCAATCATTTCTATTTTGTCTTCTTTGGACAAAACTGGGGAGAGTAGTTTTCAAGCGTTTCTTAACATAAGGAGGGCTGAGGTTTGTTGCCTCAGGTGCTTCAGAGATTGTGCGGCTGATGCCTAGGGGTAGTTAAGGCGCTGTCCCCGAGGCCAGGACGAGCTGGGGTCAGCAGCTGGATTTCCCAGTCCCCTCC